CGTAACGGGCAATTATTTACGATTTAAAAACCACCGATGTAAAGTTTCCACCGAGAATTTTCTCTGGGCAAAACTGGTCTGCCCACTAACAGAGAGAGAGAGAGAGAGAGAGAGAGACAAAGAGAGAATGAGAGAAGGGAAAGGGAAGGGGAAGGGGATGGAGCATACGAGGGTTGTCGACGGAGTGGCGTCAGCTTGCGTAACTATCGGTAATTAATCAGAATCATCCTCGTATATCGTATCCGTTGGCGTGGGGTAGTGGGAGAGTGGTGCGATGGCGGTGACGGTGACGGTGACACTGATGGTGGTACTGGTGGTAGTATTAGTAGTGGTAGTGGTAACGATGCTGATGGTTATGGCAATGGTAGTGGTGCTGACGACGATGCTACTGCTGGACCGTGCCGATTCTGTCGGAGCTTACGGTCAGGAGGAAGAGGTGGAGGTGGAGGTGGAGGAGGATGAAGAGGAGGAGGAGGAGGAGAGTAGTTAACCAGTGACGTCACGCTCACGGCGACATCTGGCTCGGCACTAACCACCGGACGACACTGCAGGACACTGGACACTACCCATCTCCTCCACCTCCTCTCCACTCCTCTCCTTTACCCTTCCCTTCCTCTTACTCTTCCTCCTCCTCTAACGCTAACTCCGAATCAAAATTACCCTTACCGCGGAGATACGAGAGCCTATGAGAGAGAGAGAAGGAACCCGCACACCGGCTGCTTCCAATTAATTCTACCTTTGACACGTATCACCCGATCCTTTCTCTTCTAAACTATATGGAAATATCATAAGTTACATAGTTTCTTAAGCAAACAATGTTTATCGTTTCGTTTTCCTATTAATATTACGAGCAATTAACCATACACGTGGAAAACTATACGTATACAAATTAAAACAATGAGAAATTATATAAGATAAATAATTTCTTATATAAAGTAATACAATGTTTTTATTATCTTCAAATAAATGATGAAATTCACATAATTTATAATATCATAACGAATTTGTGTGAATATTTTTGATAAGCTTTCTATTCCAGATGACAATTAAAACGAAACCGGCTCAGATACTATGGGGGAGGACCACTCCTGCCTCCTCCTGGCACCCTCTTCCCACCCTTCCCCCCTACCTCCCCGCGTGTAAAGCCGGATTTGCGTACGTCCCTCTACCAACGTGGCTATCAATTGCGGCTAATCCTTCGTAGAGATAGCGGAGAAACTGTTGTCTCTATGGTTTCCTAACGAACATTCGACAATTCCTTTAATCTAATTAGGATATAGGAATGAATTGTAAAAATAATCGTTATACTTAAAATTAACTAATATAATCATTTTTCTATATCCAACAATAATTATCATTTTAAGAATCGAAGAATATATTATTATCGCGGTAAGTTTAAATACGGCCCGATGGACATTACGTGTCCAGCCAAACCGCAGGAGCGGTCATGTATATTAGATACCCAATTCCGGCGGTAATCCAGCCATAAATATCTTTGAATTATATTTTCCAACGAGTTGGACGCCACCATGGACGATTTGCTCTAGGTAGCGCGCGAGCATGTTTGGGGAAACGGTGAAATTGGGGAAAAGCGCGCGCGCCTATGTTTGTGTGTAAGTGGTCTATAGGTTTATATATACATATATGAAAGAGAAAGAGAGAGAGAGAGAGAGACCAAGCGGGCTATTTAGCTGTTAATCGCTCAATTAAATTGGATCGCTCGTATTAGCTTTTAATCCCAGCGCATCGCACTGTTGGTGTGCTATCGCGAACCAACGCGCGCGAGTCCAAGTCCAGCCACCGTTTTCCGAAAAATCAAAATGAAATTTCGCTTCGAACCTCGAACCGCGGAGGATCGTCTCGGATAACGTCGAATTCGAGCCAACCTGATATTTCGTTTACTCTCGCTCAGTTGTTACCACCATTTATATACGTGCACAAGTGTATGCGTATGTGCTAGTCAAAAGAAATGAAAATAAAATTCATTTACGTTTCCGAATATCGTCCCTAAAACTATAATAATATCTTCGTTTAACTATCTTAAAATTATTCTATAATATTATAATCAAAACAATACGCGTTTCTTAAACAATACAATTAAAATCATTCAGTAGAATCGCTATTTTCAGGCTTCAAAATTCTCATGTTCGCAATCGTACAAACATTTGTTCACCTAAACCAAATTTGTTAGCTCTTATTACTCATATACAGGTTTGACATAACTGTTATAGATGTTCCAACCATAAACCCATATCTAGGATTTGTTGTTAACTCGTAACCCATGTATTAGATATCAAAGAAAGAGAAGAAATCTGTAAGCAAAGATATTCAAAGTGTCATAAATCGCGGAATAGGAGGATCGCGTTATCCTTAAACCCAAACGACTAAAATCGGTTCGGTATTGTTATATGACATAGGCTAATCTAATCTCATTTACATCGTAGCACGGCCACGGGATTGACGTTCATCGAAATAAATCCAGACTGCCGTTCGTGCCGATAGTGTAGTAGTCGAATATGCGAGAGCGCATGTAAATCGAAGCTTTCCTCCCCTTTGGAACAAATCGAATGTCGGTCGATGTAAATGAATTCCATTCTAATTGCAATTATGCGACACGAGAGCGCGCATAAATGTTCAACCGTTATACGATAAATGACACGTCGCTCATGGCGCGGACTAGCGCGAACTCGCGAGGCGGATTCTCATCCGTCCGTCCGTTTGTCCGTTTGTCCGTCCGTTCATCCCCCGTCTGTCCATTCGTCCCGTACGTCCGTCATTGCGAATTTATTAAACAACGATCGTTAAACCCATTTGGAAAGCTTCCATTCCATCTCCATTTCTATCCTTCTCTTCTTCTCTTTCTATTTATAATATATCAATCTCTTTCCGTAGAACATCGGGACCCCCATAATTGCAATTAATCAATAATGAACGTGTCATATAATTGGCTACGAGCAAAGACGAAGATCATTTAAATATTCATCTTTTCTCGTCTAGAGCAATGAGACGAGAGAGAAAGAGAGAGAGAATTGTCGGTACGGAAATAGAGACGATCGTTTTGTCTCAATCATCCGATTAAGGGAAACCAAAACCCTTCTTTGGGATATCAAAATTTCGATTCGCGTTATCCAACCATCCGATCGTTCCTTGATCTTCCTTAGAATCCAAATTAGATCTCGTTATTACAATAATTTTATCCTATTAGGTTTATTACTTCTTTGTCTAGGTTATTCTTGGAAAATTGTATTACTTTGGATGACGGGAGTGAGACAGAGATAGCCTATCATCGACAAACTCGTACTTGCATAAATCTTTTATCCTTAATCGACGAAAAAATACTAATCATTTGTAAGATCAAGCTTATCGGTTTTCTTCGTCGACACGTTCGATAGATTGTAATTTTTTTACTTTTTTCCCTTTTAACCACCACTAAAATGAGCCACCTCCTAATTCAGGAAAGAGAAAAAAAAAACTAGAAAATCCTCGAACTCATATCGGTAAAGCGAATCGCGAAAGCACCGGCGTGCACTCGATGCCGTGAATAATTAAAGCGATGTTTATTCGGCGCGAACGATAATCGATAATAAATTACGTCACGCCGTTATAGCGCAAATGCCATTCTCCAAGGGTAAATCATTAAAACGGGCGTACGCGAGTGCGCCAATCAGTAGGCATACCGTGTAAATACGTGATGGAAAGTCCACCCCCTACCCCATCTACCCCATCTACCCCCCTTTCTCTCTCTCTCTCTCTCTCTCGTCACCCACTAACCACCCAACCCTACCCAACCCTAACCACCCCTAAATAGTCACCCCCCTTTCAACCCCATCGATTCTCCAGCCGCTACACCTACCTACCTACCTATCTACCTACCTATCTACCACCCCCCACGTTTCGGGCTGGCCAAACCACCTCTCGTTCTAACTGACTTTGGCTGTTTAGCTAGAACGATTTATTTATCGACCAGCCGTGATTAGACTTTCGTTTTACCATCGACATGCGACCTCGTCAAACATTGACGAGTTGGTCCCGATTTGTTAAACGGTTGTGCGTATACCACGTTCCACATCTATTCCCTCCTGCCGCCCCATTTCCAACCCCTTTTCTCTCTCCCTCTCGTAGCACACTATGTTTTCAGGATCTACAACGAAATACCAGAGTGCTCGTGATTTTGAGGGAAATTTTGCTGCTACCGGCCTGCTGCTGCTTTATTCGTATGTTTCCTCTTCTCTTCTCTTCTCTTCTCTTCACTCTTTTTTTCTTTTATTTTTTCTTTTTTTAGGTTACCACACCGACCTATCGCAACCCTGCTCTCCACCTGTTGCTACAAAAATGAAAAGGTAATTATGACGCGCTTTTCGTTTACCGATTTCTCCAAGATCTATAATTTTCTTATCTTTCGAATATTTCGGTTTTAACGATGATCCGAATATATTATATATATATATATGTATATATTTTTCAATGAATATGAATTCTTTTTTTCTATCTTATTTGAAATATTCCCCGTTTTAGTGATAGTTTAAGAGAGGAAATGAAGTATTCGATGTATTTGATGATGGAACGATAAGGTTTAATAAAACTTAGTTAAACGTTCTTCCAAGACTTTGAATTAGAAGTTTCGGTATAATTGCCGGAAATCGTCCAAGTAGAAATGAAGATGTATAGATGTCTCTCTCTTTCTCTCTCACACACACTTTTGTGAAGTTCGAAGTCGGAGCAGCAGAGAAGTTCGAAAGCCGTGGCTAAAGGGCAAGAGCCGTGGCGTTGGAAGCTTAAGGAAAAAGCTCGTGTAGCGCAAGAGAGTCCAGTATTATTACGGTGGGGTAGGTAGAGCGTCGAATCGTAACCACCCCCAAAGACGTGCCCCTATTCTAGGATGTCCTATCGCCAGTAGGAGCTTATTCCGCCCCTTAAGCTCTGGCCACACCCGCAACCATGCGCAGTTTCCACCCATCGGCCAATGAAAGCACGAGAGCTTGCAAGCTCTGCTCAGCGGTTTTCGAGTCGAGCCACTCCGGCAAACACCACGTGCCACGCGTCCGAGTTGCACGTGCACGCTCGCGGACACGTTAAAGCTTACAAAAGCTTATTTCGAAAGACACAACACGCGATTAATCGAAAACCACGCGCGGGAATCGTTATATCCTAAAACAATATAACTGATGGACAAAGTTTTTTTTTATACGTCATTAATTTTATAATATATATCTATATATATTTCTTTTTGTTTTATTACTTTTTCTTTTTCTTCATTCGTTTATTTCGAACAACAGTTTAACGAGAAGAGAGAAAAAAAAACCACGGTGGTTTTGATATCATCCTTGTTGATCAGAAGGTTGAAGATAATTAACAAAAAAAAAAAAAAAGAAAAAAAGAAAATTCAAACAAAACCCACGTTTGATGGTGGTCGTGGTGGTGGTGGAGGTGGTGGTTGCGGTGTTCTTCAAACTCGACAAATGAGACGTGAGTTTTTTTTTGTTATCATTCATTGCTATTGAACACTTTTATTTCGCGAACTACGATTAATAATAATAATTATTTCTGTTAAAATTTCCTATATATATATATATGATTCGATATTTATTCAATCGAATATTTGGATATTGAAGAATAATAAATGTAAAAGGTGTTGTCGATGGAAGACGACAACGACGACTGTCGAAACTGTACTCTCGTGTGTTCGGTGAGAGACCGCGGACTCAAACGATCGATACGAAGTGTTTCCTCCGCTCGTGTCGCTTCGTTCATCATGGGGGAGAGAACGATATTCAACAGTTGGTCCTTCTTTTATCTGGTTAAACTCGAACGCGCAGTCATGGATCTTTAAAAGCTCCTCGAACGATACGCGTTAGACTTTTTTTTTTTATTTACATCTCGTTATTCTTTTCTTACACCTCAGAATAATCTTGACTCGTTCATTTTTTTATTGCCGAACAAAGTTTGTTATTTAATATTTGGAATTGTAACTTTAAATTATATTAATTATGTTTAACAATTTCGTATATAATTTTGATTTATACATTCATAAAATAAATTAAATATATTATACACACTTTTTTTAATACATTTTCTATTCTAATTATGATAAGACAATTCTTAAATGGTGATACAATTATCTTTCAAGTTTCATTTGATATCATTTAAAAATAAACCGAACGAACGAACCAGTACTCGAGGTATTCTCTCCCGGAATATAAATCGTCTAATTTAGTTTGAAATCTGAAAACTCTATTAACGTGTGTCTCCGTCGTAAATGATAAAACTTTGAACAAATTTAAACTAACGATATCTTCATTCCCTTCTTTTATAAAACTTTCGCAAAATAAAATATACCATTGAGAATTAACATTCCAATTATAATGAAGTATATAATTAAAAATAAAAAATAATTCGATTTGTTTTGGTAATAATAATAATAATAAAAAAAAAAACCAAACATTCGTTCAAACGAAAAAGAACTCAAACGAAAAGAAAAAAAGAAAAAGAAAAAAAAAGAAAGAAATACAATCGTAGAAAAGAGGAAGGGTTCTCCCCCCTTCTCCGTTTAAACCCTTCCACGATCGGCGAGCGAATCTTTGCACGGTCCGTTTATTCCGCAGAGTTGGAGTTAGAGAGAAAGAGAGAGAGGAAGAATTTTGGATGGCAAGCGGGCATAGGTGTGGCCATAGGTGTAACATATTTATGTTGTGAACCGGCCAAGTGCGGGCAATAAATAGCGAGCGAGCTGTGGTGTGGGGGAGGAAGGGAGGGCGGGAGGAGGGAGGGAGAGAGGGTTGGTGCAGGGGCCAAAGCGATTACGGTTCCCAAACCCTCGGCGTCGGACGTCCGAGCGATCCACTACATTCACCCTCGAACCACCCTCGAACCTGCCTCCCCCCAAACCCTCTGTTTCCCTCTTTCCGTACACACCCGGCTAGGATTCCTCTCTATCTATTTCTATCTCTCTCTCTCTCATTCTCTTTCTGCTGTACACTCTACGATACTCGACAACCCTATTCGTTTGTTTCCACCTCCGTGTTCTACGTGCACCTATATATACCTTGGATACTCGTACGCAAAGGTATGCAATTTCGGCACCGGGAATGCGGCCGAACGAACGAACGAACGACCGCAAAACCCGTATCGTCCTATTCGCGACGTCCACCTTTTACTCGAACCTTTTCTTCCTATATTTCTTTTCTTCTTTTTTTTCTTTTCTTTACTTTTACCGACCAAGCTCTGTCCAGTAGGCAAGACACATATATATATCTCTCTTTCGTCGTGAATTTAAAAGAAAAAAAAACCTTCGTTCCGAGTTATCCATCTTGTAGGAGAGGCAAACTTGAAAAATACAACACATGTTTTACCTTTTAAACAAAGTAAAACAAAAGAAAAAGAAAAACCATAAACCAATTAGCCGATCATATCGCGTTTGAACGTAACCATTTTACACTTGGCAGGATCTAAATATACAAATGTAATAATAGATTAATTAGGATTAATCCATATGGTTGGATACAGATATGGGGGAGGTTAGAAGGATCACCGAGGTATCCAAGTAAGCTAATGATGCATATCTCTGAGTCTGTTATGTCTCGAATGTCTGGAGAAATGAAGCTGCAGATAGATAGAGGGAAGATGAGATGAGAGGAGAGGAGAGGATAGGATAGGAGAGGAGATGAAATGGGGTGGTTGTGGGAGGAGTTGGAAAGCCAACCGTGTGGCTCGCAATGCGTGCTTCGCGATGAGGTTGAGAGGTTGCGGCTGGATGCCAGTCTAACCATGTCTAGCGTTTACACACGTTAACTCGTGCAATTCTCGAGGTAGTCTAGAGTATCAGCGAGATTAGCGGAGGCCATCGGAGGCCAGCAGAGGCCAGCCGAGGCCTCCTCATGGATGCATATCAAACATCCAGATAGAATCCGAGCAATGCGACTCAAGAGTCGCTGGTCGTGGCTCGGCATCGGCGTCGGCGTCGGCGTCGGCGCCGAATATGCAGGAGGATGCTAGCTAGTTCCAGGATGCGCCCACCTAGAACGAGAGAGTGAGAGAGTATTGCTCCTCCGGTTACCCTTACCTCCTATTGGCTACTGGATGCGGCTCTTCGAGATTGGACGACGTCGACGATTCTAGGCGGATTCCTGACCTTTCGATCAATTTACTGATAAGATCCTTCGAAGCTTTTTTGTTTTACCATTTTAACAGATATCTACTACTCCTTTTTAAGTTATTGATTATAATTATTTTGAAAAATATTAAATATATTATATTCTCGCGCTAGGTTTTTTTTTATTCCAAGAGTTGATAGATGATTGTTACCAAAATAAGAGTATGAGTAATCTAATCATTTTTCTTGGATTTATTCGATTTAGCATGATAGCATGAGATTTGATGGTCAATGATTGTTTTTACCTAGATCAAATCGAAATCGATTTAGATTCGAACGTTGGATTGGGTAGACAGTTTAAAAGTAAGTGGGATTAACCAATTGCAAATGTATTTTCATCGGGACAGTAACAACAACGCGTTCGTTCGCAAATGCTTTTCTCTACGTAATACCGCGAGACGTGGATGGGGGAGAAAGAGATAGAAAGAGAAAGAGAGGAACAGGAGGGGGGGACGGGGGGGGCTAGGGTAGGTGGCGTGTAACGGGGTAACGAAATTCCCTCGGTGCGCGCGTCTCGCACATTCCGCAGCGAGATTGCGCAAAAATCGGGCAAAACAAACGCAACTAATTTAACTGCTTTCGAACAATTAATCCGAAGCATTTAATTTAATTGCGTTGCAGTCCGCTGAGGCTGCTGCTGCTGTTGCTGCCGCTGGGTTAGCCGGCGACCGAAACAACAGAACCGACCGACGGAAAATCCGTCCGGAATTTTCGGCTAGGGCGCAGTCGCTCGAATTCTTTTCCTCTACGTGTAAAATATAAAACGAGGGGTTGAGGGGGGAGGGGGGAGGGTACGTGAACCCTACCGAACGAGTTGCGTCAAATTTTCAGCCGAGATTTGCGTCGATTCAACCATTCCACAGCTTACAATACGAATAATCTTCCTTATATTTATGCATTTTTCGCAACAAATAGAGAATTTATTTGTAACATCATTTTAAATGTTATCCTCATACTTTCGCATTGAATTACAATAATTGATTCGAATACGAAAATGATATTCAAATATCGTAGGAAATAAAGCAAGTATGCACTGGTGTTATTCATGGTAGAGTTAGGACAGTCAAATGGTAATTAATAGCAAACCCGTATAAATCAGAGACAGGTTGGTGGACGCGTTTGAACGAAAAGCACCGGGGTACGAGATGCCACTACCAATGCGGGATTATGCCCAGAGGGCCGGTTACCCCAATACTCGCTAATTTTTCAAACAGCCGCCATAATGGTCCCGGCTAATTACTGATTTTTATCTCCGCTAGTCGCTACCAACCGCGAGAATAACGAGATAGATGAGAGGAGGAAAAAGTAGGAAGAGGAGGAGGAAGAGGAAGAGGAAGAGGAGTATGCCTGGTGGTTTCGGAAAATAGAGGAATAGGGAGAAGAATAGTAGGTACGAGAGAACGAGGGATATACTATGCTTTTTTATCCCATTAGGGTCAAACGAATATCGCGGACTTTGGACAAAAATTATCGAGGACTGATAACTGCAGAAATAAAATAGTCTGTAAGGATAATTATAACATTGTTCAAATATATCACGAGATTTTTGTTACAATTTTTGTCAAAAAATCATCATTATTACTCTGGACAATTTTGAAAAGGTTAAAGGATAATATAATACATAAAGATCGATGCACGTGGTAAGCCGAAGGGCAAGTTCTTATCCTATGAGATGAGGAGGGGGTGGTACACGATAGGACGTCTCAAGTTATATGTACTTACTAGGTAGGTAACATTCCACGCAGGCCGGGTAGATACAGCTAACTACCCCCAAACACCTATGTACTTAACGAAACCCATGTAAGCTCACGCTAGAACAAATTTACCCCCCTTCCCTCCTGCTCCTCTTACCACTCTCCTGTTCCTTTCCCAACCGAACCATCTCCTCTCCACTCCTCTCCTCTGCTTTTCCATCCTCGATTCACCCTCGGAACACTGATGTTATGAAGTTGTGTTGAACTTTTCGCGAGCATAGTTTGCAGAACACCCTCGGGTGACTGTGAGAGCTTACCTTGGCTCGTGACATATATCTACAGAGGCTCTAACAACGTGCGACGTGCTGGAACGACAGAGTAGTAAAACAGACGGAGACAGAGAGAATGAGGGTGGGAAGGGCGAGGTTGAATCGTGTCAAATTTGTGGAGAAACGAAATAGGGAAGAGGTTTGGTATATGGAAAATAGAATAGGAACCCAAATTTCGAAGCAGAGGCGTTCTTTTATCGCTGCGATCGATCTGTTAGGAGGTCTCCGCTACTGCTGCTGTTGCTGCTGCTGCTGCTGCTACCTGTTGCCCAACACCATCGGCAAGACGTTTCA